GCTTTGGAGAGCTTTAAAAAAAAAAAAAAAGAGGAAGATTGGCAACAGATGTTAGCTCAGGGCCAATCTTCCTCACAAAAAGAAAAGAAATTGCCTCTGTTATAAATTCCAGATTTGCAAATATACTTTTCTTGCTATTTCCCTCTCTGTGTGGACCACTGTTAAGGTAGAGCTTACTCATTCCTCCCTCACTTCTGCTGGTGGCTTTCCATTTTAGTGGGGTTCTTTTGCCCTGTCATCTCATTCCTTTACTCAGACATAAGTAAGGCTGAACGTTTCCATTTTCCTCACTTTTCCCTGAAAGTGCATTAACCTACAGTCTTTCTCAACCCTTTCTCCTTCTTTCGCTTCCAACAAGTGCCCGTTTACCTTAGGAAAATGGGATTCCTCTTTCCCTTTCTTCCATTTGAAAAGCATAAAATGTGGCATCATGCATAAGGGAAAGCATATAGATTTTGCAGTTAGACCTTAAGTTAAATCTCTACTTCGTCTGATGACTAGTTAGCTGATTAAGACTAATAATTTGGGCAAGTTACTTTATCTCCCTGAAATTGTTTCCTTATCTGTAAAAGGAGCATTATAATCCATATAATCCTTATAGAATCAACCAAAAGTCAAAACGAGATACTTGACATAAAGCAGTTGCTCAGTAAATGTTAATTCCCCTCTGGAGTTACAGTTGGCAAACATGAGATTAGTGTTAGGTTTATACTTATCAAAGTTTTAAAATGGATTTGAGCATTGTGGTGTTAACACCTGCCTCTTGTACCGCACTGACTGGCTTCTCTCAGTGTCCTCAGCACTGACCCTGGTTCATGGTGCTCACAGGCTTCCTTTAGCATTTCCATAATTCAGTGCCTCTTCCTCATCTTCTGTCTGCTTTTTTCACATTTATTATTTTGGTTCTGTTCAGTGACAGCGCAGTACTATCATTTTCTGCTTTTTTACAGTACCTAATTTTTCAGTGTATATTGCAGCTATGTTTTAGCCTAGCCAAGTTTAGTGGATCTAGTCACTATTGCTAAGTTAATGATGGAAAGTGTTTCCAATTTCCAAATAGGTATTAGTTACTTTATTAAAGATACCCTTATTACAGAAATTGGAAGTTAATTTTTTAAGCTTATTCGATTCCCAGAATATTTGTTGATTTAGTGACAATACAGTTCCCTTTATGCGTATCACTTATTTCATCATCGACTCTATTTCACAAATCCGTTTCCATATTGTTCACACTTACTGTGGAAAGAACAGTATTTATTTATTGTGACGTATTGATCGTCTCCTTTTGTTGTAAACGTTTTTACTCTGGTTGTTTGAGCAGTGACGCAAGTGTTTACTAGGAATTTTCTTTATGCATCTCAGTTGCATCCTTTAGTGTCCAAAAGTTTGTGAGGCATTGCTCAGGATAAAGAATTTCCCATCTTTATCTGTTCACCGTGTGAGCCGTTCTAGTGACAAATGAATTCTGGGCAGTGAATCGAGAAGGACACAGATGTCAAAGCCATGAATTTATAAATGGTCTGTTAAGAGGGTGCTTTTGTCCAATCGGCGCTTTATTAATTTTACCTATAAGAAGGAATAATTATTCAATTATGCTTCTATCTGACCAAAATCAAATGACAAATGTGTCAGAATGTGAAGGTAAAGGGTTAGTCAGGATTCTGGCAGGTGGCCCAAAATTTTAGCCAGCTGTGAGGAGGTGGACATAGAACTAAATTGATGTATAACACTGATTACAAGTCCTTTATGAATATTCATAGATCTTACTAACTGAAAGATAAAAAATAATTTTCTAAAATCTAACAAAAACCATGAATTTCTATATTTTATGAAATACCATTAACTCGAAAAATAGACCTCAACACTACAAAATGTAAGATCATATTCCTCTTTAGTTTGTTTCTTCTGATTACCAACATATTTTCAAAACTGTTTTTAATTAGTTTTAGTAAGTTGTAACTTTTCCTTATGAAAAAATTATCTTTATTTCTTAGTATTATTTCTGGTACATCATATTGCTTTATACAGAGCCAGAGGTCAGCAGACTTTTTCTGCGCAAGGCCAGATAGTGAACGTTTTCAGCTTTGCAGCCATATGGTCTCTGTCCCGGCTGCTCAGCTTTGCCGCTGTAACACAGCGCGGCCGTAGACCGTAGGTAAGTCAGTGAGTGTGGCGGTGTTCCAGTTACACTTTGTCTACAGAAACAGGCTGTGGACTGAATTTGACCCATGAGCCATAGTTTGCCAACCCCCTTAAAGAAACTGATGATGTTTTTAAAATTTCATCAAGATTTTTAGTAATACCCTAAAATAGAAGAGCTCTATGAACTGTGTTAAGTAACTTGGATGTCTGCCCCGCACAACTCCCGAGGATGTTCGTCTCCCCCCGACGACAGTGTGAGGGTCGCTCCCTGAAGCAGTCCAGTGCAGCCCTGACCGTGACCTGCCTCACCCGTTCCTCCCTCGTCTGTGTTAGGGGTGTCTAACCTGGCCTGCTGCCTGTTTTTGTAGATGAAGTTTCATTGGACCATAGCCACACATTTATTTCTAGATTGTCTGTGGCTGCTTTCACACTATAGCAGCAGAGATGAGTTGTTTCAACAAAGACCACATGGCCCCTTTACAGAAAACGTTTGCTGACCCCTAACCTATACCCTTATTATCTTCCTCTTTAAGGATGAAATTACAGAGCATAATGTGGGAAGGCTCCTACGATTGTTATTCTAAGTGTGACAAAGGGTATATAAAGTTGCCAAATGCCTCAAGTTGTTTCAGAATTCTGTCTCTTCATGTTTCTCATCTTAAGGATTTGGTTCAAGAAACTAAACATATTTTCCTGTAGCTCATACTCTTGGTGGGTCAGCATTTTCAGTGGTAAGTCATTTACTTTGAAGAATTTGTATCAATCAGGAGTTCAAACACATGGGAAGGAGAGACTTCCCGTGTCTGTGGAGAAGGAGAGGAGAGTAGCTCAGTGTACCTGGCAGTCTACTCGAGCCCAGTGCAGCTGTCACGTCTGCTTCACAGGCCCCTTAGGAAGACTTGAGAAACTTCTTAGCGGTGACATCCCACCAAGTATTTGTCCTGGATATCTCACACAGGTAGGTCAGGTTTGGAAGAAGCAATTACTTTGATGCCAGCAGATCTTATCATGGGCTTTATTTGGAAGATAATTTAGTGCTGCTGTCATTGGATAAAAAATTTCCTACGGCTGTGGATAGAAACCAAGTTTGGGGCAAGGTGAGGGTTATTCCTCTACTGTGTAAGTCTGAAGGCTAGTTACTAATCATGAAATTGTTTCTTTTGTGCATTTATTTGGTACATAAGTACTTGCTTTCAATCTGTTTATATAGGAAAGTGTGATTTACATTTTAATTTGTGAATTCCCTAAATCATGCAGGATGAAATTAATTTTATTAGTCAAAAAAATCATCATTTTTAAGATTTGTGTTACAGACGTTTGCTCGATGTTTGAGGATGCCTTCCTGAATCCCTCTCCCTCACCCCTCTCAACACTCACACTCCTGGTTTTCTTGTTACTTCTGTGGCCCCAGCTTCTCAGCCGTTTCTTCTCAGCCTCCTTTTCTTCTCTCCATTTCTTAAATTCTGGGACTCATCATGTACTCTCCCTGGGTGACCTCTTGAGCTCCCACGACTTACAGTTCCATTTAGATGCTCACAGTCCCAAATTTATATCCTGAAATCCAGATCGTGTCTCTTGAATTTCAGGCCTGTATATTTAGCTGCTTATTGAATATTTTTACCTGTTTGTCTCATAAGCATTAAACTCTCATATTCCTCCTGAATCTGCGCTCATTTATTCTCTGTTACCATGGTCAGTACCACAGTCTGCCCAGTTGTTGAAGCTAAAAGCTGTTATCCTTGACCCTTCCCTCCTGCTCACCTCCACAGCCAGCCAACCTTAGGGTCCTCTGAGCTCCACCTCCTAGACATCCCTTGACTGCATCTCCTTTCCCTTCCTGCCCGTCCCTCTACTGCAGACCACTTGGATTAGTACAGCGGTCTCCTCTTTTGTCTCTGTCTTAGTCTTTTACCCTCCCATTCACCCTGCACATTGCACTCCAGAGGACTTTCTAAAGCCAGAATCTGGTCAAGTTGCTACCCTATGTAAAATTTTTCAGTGGCTTGTCATTATTCTTAGAATAAAGTCATTTTACTAACGTGGCTTACTCAGCCATGCTTTCTCTGATCCCTACTTACCTTTGTAGCCTTACATCTCATTTTCTCTCAAATTGGGCTGTGTATCAATTGCGATTCTGTATGCACAGTGCTCCTTCTGCCTAAAACACTCTTTCCCTCCTGTCTCCTAGCTGACTTGGTCTTCAGTTCTTATCTTACACGATACCCTGTGCCCCTGCTGTGGCCACATCTGAATTAGCTACTTTTGCTGTGAGCTCCCTTAGTGCCTTATACTCCCCCCTTTCTTAGTATTTATTACCTCGCAAATAATTGCCAATTTATTTGTCACAATTGTCTCAATATAAGTTTCTTGAGAACAGGGACGTGTATCCACAGTCTGTAAATTAGAATCACTTGTCTGGAACATATGCTCATAAATATTTCCTTTTCATGATAAATAAGAGAGGGTGCTATGAACTGGTCTTATGGACAACTATAAAATTCCAGCACTTCATTTTTTACATGTCACTTATCTTTTTAAATGGTTTATCTCTTTTGCATGTTTCAGAGGAATATATAAAGTAAAGATCTAGTACCTTTTTAAAGTCAGCATATTGTAAGTTTTATACTAATAAATATGTTCATGTTAGGATTATTTAATTGTGTCATCCTGTTTTAATTATTTTAATAGGAATCCATAATTGAATCCTTATTTTAATCTTACCATCACAGTGATGGAAATCTTTTTTTTTAAAGAGGCTACGAGGTAGAACTTGGCTATTTTATATTTAACCTTTAAAACGTTGTATTTTGTCATGAAGGGAAATAATGCTAAATTGTTGGGTATTTTATTTGTTACAGTCTACCCTGACATTTGCACCATCAGCCTTGTGGCAGTAAGTGACGTGGGTAAGCATGCTGATAGAATTGCTTTCTGGGATGATGTCTATGGCTTCAACATGTCCTGCATGAAGAAAGCAGTTATTCCAGAGGCTGTCGTGGAAGTTTTAGACCCGAAGACTCTTATTTCAGACCCTTGTAGTATTAAGGTAGGTGTTTTACTAATTTTATTTTCTTCAACAGCATTGCCGTTTTTCTTAGTTTACATTTATTACTTCAGTATTTGAAATTAATATATTGATTTTGCATATGGCCCTTCAAAACATTAATTATTCTTTGTGTTTTAATCAGTCTAAAGCAACTTGAGCTCATGGATTTACCAGGGGACTGCCATCCCTTTGGAGTCGCCTCTCTGTATATTGAAGCTCCTGAGGGGCTGGGTCACTTTGGTTTAGTGAATGCGACACATCCTGCGGCATTGTCATTTCTGCGTCGTCGCCACCTCCTGGCCTTGTTCTAGCTTCTCATTTACAGCCAGGTCATTCATTCACATCATACATTCCCCACAATTTACTGCTCTCATTCACATTTCTTTCAGCCTCTTCAGGTTAAGTAATTACAGCGAATTTGCCCATGAAACGAAAACCCAACTATGTTCAGATTACCCAGTTAATTCCTTTTGTGTGTTAATGTCTTGTTTATCACGTTAATCTCCAGTTTTGTGAATTTGGTTATGTTAAATTTACGTGGGTTGAATTAATACCTTTGCAGGGAAAAGTCACATTGCTTTTCTTAAAAACTCCTTAATTTGTTTCAGTGAGGTAATCAAATAAATATGGTTTGTTAGCTTCAGACATTGTATCCTCTTTTTAGTCACAGTTACTTTCATGGCATCAGTAATTGTTCTCTGCACAAAATAGATACTCAGTAAATGTTTATTAATTTTCTTAAATGGATACATTTTTTTAAAATTAGTGTAGAATAATAAACGTGAAGTTTCTCAACAAGAGCAAGCTGATTAAAATTGCATTCAGCTTTTTAGGAAGACAGTGCAGCCTGCTTAATGCTTATGGGACTGTTGAGTGCTCTGGTACACCCGACGGCAGGGGATTTGGTGAGATTCCTGGCTCAGGGTAGGAGTTTGCAGTTACAGCATTCAGCCTTAAGGCTGAGCAGAAAGAGGAGGGTTGTCTGGGGGCAGGGAGGCGCTCATTTCTCTCTCTAGTGATCTCTTTGCTTAATGCCAAAAACTGCTGTGAATAAATAGTTGAAGTAGAAAATTCAGGACTGAAAACTAAAGGTGTTTAGAAAGTATACGTACCCTTTTTTTTTTAACGTTACTCAATTATTTATTCACTTGTTTGTTTATTTAGGTAAATACAGTTTGTTCTGTGTTCCCTAGTTGTCCTACTAATAAAAGGCAAGCACATTGTAACTTCTTTTAAATTTTCTCAAACTGCGTAAACTAGAGTAGTGTCTGAGGCAGGTAGTCATGTGACTTGTGTTCACTGTGTTGTCATCCCCTCCCTCAAGTCAAGCGTTATAGCCGGACAGCATCCTTCTGGTCACTGCAGGAGCTGGTTCCGTCTACGCTCCACAGGGAAGTGGAGAAGGGTTTGAACCTGGGCGCAATGGGAAAATGAGGATATTTGGCCATTTTTTTTTCTGAGTTGAATCTTCAGAGGTTTTTTTGCTCTTTGGTTGGAATTGTTGTGGTTTTTCCTAATATCTAACAAGCATCTTCAAATGCAGTTACAAAAATGAATTGTAAAACACCTTGTCCTTTTCATTAGCATATGTTTTCAAGTTGACATTTCCTATAAAAATATTGAGTGTTATCACACAATTTATAGCAAATGTTTACCACTATTGGGATACAAAATGATTTTAGTTGGAACACACAAAAACATTTTTCATTTTAAAGTCTGTTACTGTGTTTTAGAAAAACTTGAACTAGCACATCAGGGCCATGATTGGCTATATACTGTTCTCACTGGAAATCTAAGTATAAAGTACTAATTTGACTTAAAGAAAAATTAGCTAAATGATAGTAGCCCTATAAATTTGGAAACAGTCTCAGAAGTGGAGTGTGAATGATTAAAGTTTGCAAAACATTGCTTTACAGTAATCCTTCTTGCATAAAAAAATAAGTAATATTTGTATGTTTTCGGTTTTGTTTTTACTGTTTTCACTGAATTTTTCCCTCCACTCTTTTAATGGGTAGCATATAGATTGCCATACGACTACTGTCTCAGATTTGGAGTTTTCTTCAGATTTTTCCCTGAAAATCACAAAGACGTCCTTGTGCACGGTAAGCTGTTTCATTTACGTTCCCAGATTTCACTAGCTGTGCGGTTGATTGACAGGCTAATGAAGTAATGACCAGGCTTGTGATAAATGAAAACAACTATTGCCTTTGACAGTCTATTTTTGCCTTTGTTAGGCTGTCGAACAGATCTATTTTAATAGGTCAGTAGTCTTCAAAAAAGTTAGTTTAGTTCAGAAGAGAAAGTATTAGGAAGCCATGTTTACGTAGTGATTTTTCTTTTATCGAGTCTTCATTATTCCCTGTCATATAATTACTGGAGCGCACTCAACTTTATCTTCATAGACAAAAGTTCATGTCCTGCCCTCCAGATGAAAGTAAGATTTGTTTATTTGGCATGATATCATATTCACGTGTGAAAAATGATACAGAAACTAATGGTTTGCCTTTCTTTGAGGAATCAGGCTGGCGTAATGAGAAAGTATGGGCTTTAGAAACCTTGGACAAATTGGGATTCACATTTGGTTCTTCCGCTCACTGGTTTGTTACTTTCTTCAAGTTACCTAGGTGCTCTGTACCACAGACCTATCAGCGGCTTTAAGGAAAATGGTAATTCCTTCTGTCTTGAAGACTGGCTATACAGAGTGATGACATAACATGTGTGAAAACACCTACAGTGGAGCCAGAAATGTTAGGTTATGAAAATGTGTTTAATTTTTTTCTTAAGTAGGTTTTAAACGTGTATTAATACTAGGATAACAATATTTGCCTTTACCAGGAGACTGAGAATATTAATAAAATGTGGGTCTTTACTTAAAAGTAGGAATTTACATAGGCGGTATTGATATAAATATATTGTTTGAAAAATTATGTAGTTTTAAAAATACTAATTATAGTTTCAAAAGTTAAAATTTTTATGGAAAACTGTATTGTCAGAAACTATGTGAAATAGATTATAGTCATGTTAACTTTGACTCTTCATCCTGATTTTTTTCAATGTTTTGTTCAGATTGACATACAAAAGGTTTTATGGTTTCTTTAAAATTGTTTTGGTTCATTTTGATCCAAATAGGGACTTAACCACTATGCATCCAGGCCAGGCCCCTACAGTTTTTAAAAGTTAAATATCTATATTCCAGATTTCTGATTTTGGGGTACCCATTATATTCATTCATTTAGTTGATGAAAAGCAAAATTTCATTCTTCCCGTTCATTTCCCCCAGATTTTCTAATTCTGCTTTTTAGCAACTGAAATGCTTTGGTCAATTGAAATTACAGGCTAAAGGCATTAACTCCTAGACTTACTCTGTGTTTTGATATTAGTAATCCTTGAGAGTTAAAAAAAGACCTCTTTATTAATGACCGTTGATCAATCTATAAGAGAATTCTTAGATAGAAATCATCATATCACCAGTATTATTAAGTATTATTTCACATCTGCTTTCAGTCACCTTCACATAATCAAAGTAAAGCAAATATAAAACTGTAGTGAAGACCTTATAAACTGAGTCTGTTTTTAGTTGTACATATTTTTTTAACTTTATATAAACCGATGAGTTTATTGAGTTTCATTGAAATGTTCTTTATTTTCTGGATATTGGTCAGGGTTCTTAGTTTCAGACAACAGAATCCAAATCAGCTTGTTTACATAGAAGGGGATTTACTAAAGAGAACAGGTAATTTCCAGACACATTGGGAGTGCTAAAGGAATGGACTATATTTTGAGCTTCTAGAAACAGCTCCCAGAGCCACCGCTTGGAACTGGCCTGCTGCAAAGCTGCCTCTGCTGTGAAGGGACAGCTGCCCCACCATCCGGGCCCTGTAAAGCCTGAGGCTCCCGGACCACCCGGGAAGTGGTAGCACCACTGATAACCCCAGGTGAACAAAATCCTCCACTGCCATCCTCTTCCTGTCCCCGCGCCCCACTCCTGCGGACCTGTTCCTCCTTAAAAACCTTCATTCCGCACATCCGCTTGGCTGAACCTAGGTCATCTTGTACCCCACTTATCAATAAGTCTTAGAAAGTAGTTTTAGCCACAGTAGTGTTATGCTGCAGAAAAAGTTTCCTAACCCATGGATAGGATTATTTTCTATTTCCCATTATTTGAGATGGCATACAAGTAGCTTTATGTTAAAAGAAATTGTGGAGCTGGCCCGGTGGCACAGCAGTTAAGTTCTCACCGGGGTTCGCTGGTTCAGATCCTGGGTGCAGACCTACGCACTGCTTGTCAAGCCATGCTGTGGCAGGCATCCCACGTATAAAGTAGAGGAAGATGGGCACAGATGTTAGCTAAGGGCCAGCCTTCCTCAGCAAAAGAGGAGTAGTGGGGGATGTTAGCTTAGGGCTAATCTTCCTTAAAAAGAAAGAAAGAAATTGTATTTTTCATTTGAAGATCTTAGTTTTATTCTGTATATTTAAAAGAGTAAAATAGAAAGGAAAAAAACAAGGGGAAAAAAAAACTGATAAAGTCTGTTTAATCCGGAGATGGTAATCAAAATTTTTGTATTGAAGAATAACGTATCAAACAGGTACTTCCACATTTGTCCCTGTACAATCAGAAAGTTTCATAAGAAAAATGAATCAGAAATAAGCTGTTATATTATCTTCTGTCTATAAAGAACCTTTTAGGTTTACATTTTCATTCCCAGCTTGCCTGAATGATTTTAATATAAAAGTGTGGAAATTAAGGCAGGCCTCAGGTTTGGGAGAGAGGTGGCAGGAGGTTAGCATTGACTCGTGTGTGTCTGTCCCTGCTGAATAGTGTGGGTCTATAACTCACCTTGAGGGGAGTGAACAGATTTAGACCATCTCTATTGGATGCATGCCAGGTACTGAAGATCGAAATTTTACTACTTAACATTAAATGTTAACTCTTCTGAGATTATTCTGTGAAGTAATTAGTCAATTTAAATTGCCTTCCCATGGTGATAATATCTAACAGTCATTGAACACTTGCATGTCAGAAGCGTGCTAATCACTTTAAAAGCATTATCTCATTTAATCCTCATAATAACTACTTGAGGAGGGTACTAATATTATTCCCATTTTATGGATGAAGAAAAAATAAATCACTAAAATGTTTTATTTGTGAATATCATTTTTCTTTCCTGACCCAGAAAGCCTTCTTGGTTGAGATTGTACAAGCTGTTGAAGGAACATAGAGAAAGCTTATGAATGAGTTTGTATGTTGAGTTTGAAACAGATTTGAAAACTTTTATTCTTGGCCCAGTCTAGCAGGCGTGAGGAGGCAGAGGGAAAGAGAATGTGTATGATCAAAACGCGCTCTTCCTCGGGTATAGGACTGAGAGATTTATAGGATAAAATAAGTCACATATCCCATCCTCTTTGCAGCAGAGAAAAAGTACATCTTTGAAACTTTTTTTTCTTTGCCTTTTCAGAGTAAGTTTATAGTCGTTTGGTTAAGTGTCTACATTTCTTAGAAACTTTCCTTTCCAGCATGCTTACTCACATGAGCCTGACAACAGTAAGATTCCATGGCCTAATGCTTTTGGTATGTTTTCATTATTTGTGAGTCCCAACTATCCACCCCTATCTGCTCTGTCTTTAGCTTTTTGAGGTGGTTCCAACCCCGTGCACTTTTCCCCTGCCAGCCGTCTGGAGCTGTTGTGCAAGCCTCGTCTACAGGGCTGCTTTTGAACAGATAGACTGTTCACCTTGATACTTGGGAGTAATCCTTGACGAAGGTATTGAAAAGGATGGGTGCCCAATTGGAACTTTGTTCCTCCTTTATATAGTCAGAAGAATTAGTGAAGATACTAAAAGTGAAAAGCAATGCCTAGTAAAGAGATGGAGAAAGTTACTTTGGGGAGGCGGGGTGTGGCCTTTTTAGATAGAGTGAAGAAAAAAGTATCCGGTTTTGTACTGCTAAGTACAAACCCTTAAATATATTAAATTCTTTTTTTCTTATGCTTGAAACTTGAATGCATGGCTAAAAAATAAGATGGGCAGCTTCTCTGAGTAGTTAAACCCATTTTAAATATATGTATGACCATTTGTTTCTTAATGAGATTCTAAATTTGTGGTCTAATTAAAATAGTGGAGGAAATTGGATTTTTCAAAGTTACAAGATGCTAAGAACACCCCCTTTGCGTTTACTTTCAGTAGCATTTTAGATAGCTTTCTCAAGTTTGTTAGAACCTTTAATGGAAAAACATCTTTTCTTTGTGTTCTCCCCCCCAAAGTGCACACAGACACATGGACATGGACACATACCACAGAAGAAGTTTGATAGGATTTTTAATTTAATGTTTTGCATTAACAAACTTTATTTTATGTTTCTGGGAATTTAACATGATGTGGTATTTATGTGTAAGTATCTTGAGTCTTGGTTATCTATAATGATTGAAAGATAATTTTCCAGTGAATGCTAGTAATGCATACATAGCAATTTTCTGAGCATTTTTTACTGTATCATATATTATTGACAGTTTAGGTCAGATTGCCTTTGTTTCTGTGATGGAGTATGAAGGTTTAGTTAGCAGTTGACTGTCAGTCATAGCAGCCTGCCTAACCTTGCAGTAAATGAACAATAAAGTCCATTGTTTTTATGGAAAGTTTATTATGGGTGTTCAAAAGAAATGGTTAAAGGCTGTGCAATTTAGAACTAATGTGTTTTGTCTTTTGAGTTCAGTTATTTTTAATGTCGTTTATGTAACTGTGTAATGTTCTCTGACTCTATTCCAGCAGCATTTCTACTGGCATCTGTCTATATCATGTCCTTAAAGACTTAGACAAGCATCTTTTTTCATGATCCTGCGTATACATTAAATGACTTTTCATGCTGACTTCTACAAATCAAATGAGTTGTTTACCTTAAAAATGTAAATATTTGGGATGGTTTTCTCAGATTACAGACTCACAGGCATAAATATCTTTGACGTGTAAAGGTTTTTGTTTGATACATCATCTCTCAATGCATTCATTTTGTGTCTTAATTTCAGCATTATGTTTTCTTTCTTTTATTCTACCTCTCTGTTAGCATGCACTGGAATAACTGGTTCAGCAATATTCAGTTTGTATAAAC